AAATATATTAGTCCATGATTTCAGAAAAAAACCAAACTAAAGCATTTTCAAGGTAGCATTAGTTGTTGCATCAATCTTATTTCACTTTGGATGCAACTACCAAAATGGTTGCGCGTACATAAGGTTTTTAAAGTGTGTGTAATAAGATTCTCAAGAGTATGGAGATGAACAAAATTATGCGAGAACCAATATGAATACTGCAAATTTGGCTAACAACTATCAATGGTAGCAATTTAAAATTGTGTGTGTTAGGAACGGAGGTAATCAACTTTGATATTTTCAACATAATTTCATAACATGCTAGAAGATGGTGAAATATCACAATGGAAGGAGCTCACCAACATGTAGACAACTATACTAAGTCCTAGAGTCAGCTATTTCACTCCAGGAGCCCATTTTCAGAACGAAAGCCTTTGAAAGTTTAAAGTAAACACAATATTCCTGATTCAGCACCAACTCAGATTTCAAATCAAAAATTAACAGCTGTTTACTTCAAAGTAGAGTTTCTGATCCTGCTCATTTTTTTGGCAAGTTATTCCTTGTAAGAAGTTAGAGAAAATTAGTGACTAGATTTAAAATTGTAATCACAATGTTCTACCTCCTGTCAACAAAACAAACGGGAATTCTAGATAACTTTAAGTGAAAAGAATACCATTGACAGCTGGCATCTGAGGCATTAAAAAATTGCAAAGCTTTCAAAATCTCAAGGTAAACAGCAGGGATGTGCTTAAGTCCAAGTAACCCATTTATCCAGATTCTGTTGGTTCTGTAAGGCTTGTCTGAAATCAAAGTTTATTTAGTGTGGTCTTGAATTTGATGGAAATAAGAACCCGCAAAAGAAAATCAAAATAGGAATTAGGAGCTGGAAGAAAACATCTCTATTAGGTCCTATGGGCACCATGGAATCCACTACCGCAGAAGGTTATGGAAACTGGATCACTGAATATTGTCAAGAAAAAGACTGATAAATTGAAACATTAAACGTACCAAAAGGGTATGGAGAGAAAGCTGGAATGTGGAACAGGGGGAGCATCAGCCAATATCATACTGAATGGCACAGCTCGCTCAAAGGGCTGAATGGCCTACTCCTGCCTTTAGTTTCCATACCTTTAACAAATATTTTGACATTCAGATACACACCGTGCTTTTTACATGAAAAAAAACTGACTGAACTCAATGTCATTCCAAGTAAAGTCAATAGCTATTGAAAGTTTAAGAACAAAGTTTAAGTTACAAAGAAAATTCCAATCATTCTGACATTATCCAACATTGTTACTTGATCATTTGCATAGGACAAACAGGCCACTCAGCCCAACATACGTACACATGAATTAGGCAAAGTAGGTCCTTCTACCCCTTGAGCCGGCTCTGCCATTCCAAATCTTAATTAACCTGTTTGTATTTTGAATTCCACATTCCCATCTACCCCAATAACCCTGGATTTCCTTGCCTGTCAAGAATACCACTTCCACCATCATGAGGCAGACTTCCAAAATTGCAGAACTCTCAAAAAAACTCTCGTTGGTCCTAAAAGGATGGTCCCTAATTTTTAAACAGCACCCCCCAAGTTCCAATCAATCTGAGAATATTTATGCTCCACTCAAGCTTTCTTCCATCTTCTCCCCATTTAAATCTACCATTGTAACAACCTTCCACCTTTTATGTTTGCTAGCTCCTCTTCAATGGGTTTTTACTCATTGCTTCGACCAAACCCATGATGGGTTCCATATTGTCGCCACTTTCTGGGTAAAGAAATCCATATTGGATTTCTTATATTGACATCTTTTTGTTATGCTCTTCTTCACAAGTAGCTCTGCATCTATTCAAGCAAAACCTTTTGTCATTTACAAAAAACTTTTATTCAGTTACCCCTCAGTCTTTTTCAAAGGATGTCTATCCTGCCAATGCATTATCTATGTGCATGTTCACACATTTTTGGTACCATCCTTATAAATTCAGTCTATACCCGCACGTGTACCCTTCTTTCAAAATATGACAACCAGAAATGAACAAAGGTTTTGTTAACTTACCTACTTTTCAATTCTATTCCTCCGTAAATAAAGCCTATTGCATGGCCTTGCCAACCTCTGACACATAACCTTTCGTGACTGATATATTTAAACTCAAAACATTTCTTTGTTCTCTATCCCACCTGGACTAGCACCTTCTAAGTAACAGACAACCTCCTTTTTATTCCTACCAAAATGCACTATGAACATTTATCCATGCTGAGCTTCATTTGTCAGTTATTTGACCCTTCTACAAGTTTAATAATGAACTACTGTCATTTGTTGTAGCCCTTGCTCAACACTGGCAATAACCACCCATCCCCCAATGCCAATTTACAGTAAAATGCAAATTCAGAAATTGAGATTTTGATTCCAATGTCATTTGTGTAATTGCTGAACAGAAATCATCCCAGCACTGATCCTTATGAATTACCACTCCCATCATCTATCACTTTGAATAAATACTTTTTTTTTTAAGTTCACACTCTGCTCCGTCCTGAAGTCAGTGAGCTATGTATTCTCTGAAGCTCCAAAGATGATTCATACTGAATTCAAAACACTAACTCGGCTTCTCTCTCCACAGATGCTGCCAGACCTCCGGAGTTTCTCCAACATTTTTTGTGCGTTTCATCTGCAGTAATTTGCTTTAATTATAGCAATATATTCTACTACTGTTTTCCTGACCTTATTCATTAGTCTATTAGAGGGTGTCTACTTTAGAGTATCTTTTCAAAAATCTTTTGAAAATCTGGATAAATTACATATCCTGCATCACAATAGTCTCCTCTCCCTGTTATCTCTTCAAAAATCCAATAAAGACACTTGAAGAAATATTCTAAAAACAAGATACATAATGAACGGAATCACAATTTGTCAGGTAAGGCTTGCAAACTATTCAGTAACATGCATCTTGCAATTTAAAAATGCAATTTGTTAAATTCAGTATCAAGTAAATTTCAAAAGATATACTTCAGAAAACATCATAATGTCCAATCAATATAAAGTATTACTGCATCAAAGCAATATCCCACTAAGGGGTTTACTTGCAAATAGTGCAAACTATTTCACTTCAGAGCTAGATTCAAGGTGCATTACCTACTGTAAAATTGATGACAAAAGTCACTTGCAGAAATGGCAAATTTACAACCAAATGTATATTCATCCTCCAGACAGTGAAAGAAATTTGACTGTCTTCAAGCTTAGTGAATCAGAGGTCATCCATCTGGGTTTTACCTCTGCTTTAAAAGTGGACAGAATCACATGTCACAGCTTAGCTTGGTCTGAGTATCAATGCCCAATTTCTGCTGTAATAACAATCAAGTAGCTTCATTCACTACTTTGTGGAAAAAATGGTTTGTTCCTTGATTTATGGCATTATATTGCTTTGATTTGAATGCAAGTGCCTTTTACATTTTTCCACTGAGTAGATTTTAACATTTGTGAAAATTCTCACATTGCTTAACTTATGAGTCCCTCCTCCTTCTTCATTATTAATTATAAATATATGAATGAAATACTGCACAGCATGTATAAAAAACTTGCAAAGGAAGCACATCAAGGTTTCACATAAATGAATTGACAGCTCAACTTCTTTTCTCCCTCCAAACTGCAGTGAATGATTCAACAAAAATTTACATTTTTCACCCTGTTGCAGGCAAAGGTGCTTGTAGATGCACAGGTACAACACACGTTTACAAGAAAACACAAGCAACTGAATTTGCTGTATATACGCGAAGGGGCCCAATTATAACTGCAGTGAAAAGTAATCCTGAATAACCAATGAATACTGAATTTACATAAATGCCTTTTATCATTTATTGACAATCTCAATGCTTCATGTTACCAGCTAATTGCAAACATGTGTTACCTGCTTTAATTTGTAAGACTATTATCTTAAAGCAATATACGTAGCTCAACGACTAACTTTCTGTAAAGCAAGTCTAAATTAAATCAATTACAGCAAGTGCAAGTTAATCCTAGGTTTACAGAATATTAAATAATCAGGATAAACTCAACTTATCTGCTAAACCACCACAGATAAATTCGTCCATAAAATGTAAAGTTATAGCAGCTGAGTTTGTTGATTTACATTAGGCAGCAAAAATGTTACCATTGGCGGTGTAAATGAAAAGGAAATAGTGAAAATACCTGCTCCCTGACATTACTCAAAAACTGCTGAAAGTGCATGCGTGGACCTCAAGTGAGAAAAAAACAGTTGAGCTCATCTGTGAGGAATCCTATTCTAATAAACCTGCAGGCACTCAGTCAAGGCTCACACAAATAATATTTGTTTCACTGAAGTGCTGGAGCATGACTACAAAATTAAAGCCATGACAAGGAGAAAACAAAGCTCATTATTAAGCAGAATTAGAATAGCCCTCTAAACTAAGATAACAAGGTGTAGAGCTGGATGAACACAGCAGGCCAAGCAGCATCAGAGGAACAGGAAAGCAGACGTTTCGGGCCTAGACCCTTCTTCAGAAAAAAGATAACCCGAAACGTCAGCTTTCCTGCTCAGCCTGCTGTGTTCATCCAGCTCTACACCTTGTTACCTCAGATTCTCCAGCATCTGCAGTTCCTACTACCTCTAACCTAAACCCATTTCTGTATTATGATGCATATTGTGCATAGTCTTCAGGAAGTAATGCTTCTGTACTTTGTCTGAAGGATATATTCATGAGGAATCAATAAATTAGCATGCTGGTGCAATGTGATAGGAGGAACCAAGCTCACACGTGCAATTTCATGTCATACTATATCGGTACATCAACTTACTCAACTGGCTTTGTAGACATACTAATAATGCGCCCAAGAAGTTCCATAAACACCAAAACCAGCCGATTACACTGATTCTTGGGGTAGGAGAAGGTAGTGCATGCATTACAATCATACACCCTTTAGTTAATGAATCTTGTGTAGCAATGGAAGCCTGGAAGCAAGTGATCTACTTATCTGAGGAATATGCAATGGAAATGTATAACACAACAGGAAACAAAAGTATGACAAGTGAAGAGACTGAATTTTTAAAAGGAACATTACTCCACAATATGCTTGATGACGTCAGTCCATTTTGTATAGACAGTTGAAGCCATTCCTTGATCAACCTGAAATGGGATGCAGAAGGAATCCTTTCCCTTTCAAACTCCGATCACCTCATTCATTGTACCAGCTGTTTGAACGGTTCCAATATTTGGTGTTAATCACTCAGATTGAGAACGACATTCTTCTGCCAACATATCTTGACATACCTCCAGGAATGAATGTGTTATACTGTGCAAAGCTTTTTGTATGGTTCATAAAAGCTTACTTTCAGCTGTCGATTCTCATCTGTCATTTTCATCAACTCGGCTTGAAGCCTCTTGCATTCTTCAACTAGTTTCCGCACTTCAGTGTCATCCATTGAAATACTGGCAGATTTTGGCATTGCCGGTCCATCTGATTTAGGTGCATTCGTTACTGCAGCAGCTTTATTCACTTCAATATCATTCTGCAAACATTTTCAAAAGGGAGTATTATTTTTATGTAAAGTATCTATGAAAACTTGTTCAGACATAAATGAAGTACAGCACTGTAAAGCATATCTAACATCTTAAAACAACACCCTAGTCATTTACAAGAAATAGAGAAAATAGAAGTAGGCTGTTCGACCCTTCTAGCGCTCTGCCATTCAATATGATCATGGCTGATCATCCAACTCAATGTCCACTTTCCACTTTCTCCCCATAACCTTTTATATTTTTTGCCCTAAGCATTAAATGTTTTCAAGGAGAGATAAAATAAAGCGTTTTGGCATCAGAGGTAACAAGGTGTAGAGCTGGATGAACTCAGAGGCCAAGCAGCATCAGAGGAGCAGAAAGGCTGACGTTTCAAGCCTTGACCCTTCTTCAGAAACGGGGGAGGGGAAGGGGGTTCTGAAATAAATAGGGACAGAGGGGGAGGTGGATAGAAGATGGATAGAGGAGAAGATAGGTGGAGAGGAAACAGACAGGTCAAAGAGGCGGGGACGGAGCCAGTAAAGGTGAGTGTAGGTGGGGAGTTAGGGAGGAAATAGGTCAGACCAGGGAGGACGGACAGGTCAAGGGGGCGGGATGACGTTAGTAGGTAGGAAATGGGGGTGCGGCTGGAGGTGGGAGGAGGGGATAGGTGGGAGGAAGGACAGGTTAGGGAGGTGGGGACGAGCTGGGCTGGTTTTGGGATGCTGTCGTGGGAGGGGAGATTTTGAAGCTTGTGAAATCCACATTGATACCATTGGGCTGCAGGGCTCCCAAGCAGAATATGAGTTGCTGTTCCTGCAACCTTCGGGTGGCATCGTTGTGGCACTGCAGGAGGCCCAGGATGGACATGTCGTCTGAGGAATGGGAGGGGGGAGTTGAAATGGTTCGCGACTGGGAGGTGCAGTTGTTCATTGCAAATCGAGCGTAGATGTTCTGCAAAGCGGTCCCCAAGCCTCTGCTTGGTTTCCCCGATGTAGAGGAGGCCACAATGTGTACAGCGAATGCAGTATACCACATTAGCAGATGTGCAGGTGAACATCTGCTTGATGTGGAAAGTCTTCTTGGGACCTGGGATGGGGGTGAGGGAGGTGGTGTGGGGGCAGGTGTAGCACTTCCTGCGGTTGCAGGGAAAAGTGCCAGGTGTGGTGGGGCTGGAGGGCAGTGTGGAGCGGACAAGGGAGTCATGGACAGAGTAGTCCCTCCAAAAAGCAGATAAGGGCAGGGAGGGAAAAATGTCTTTGGTGGTGGGGTCGGATTGCAGATGGCGGAAGTGTCGGAGAATGATGCGTTGGATCCGGAGGTTGGTGGGGTGGTACGTGAGGACGAGGGGGATTCTTTTTTGGTTGTTATTGCGGGGACAGGGTGTGAGGGATGAGTTGCGGGAAATGAGGGAGACACAGTGGAGGGCGTTCTCGACCACTGAGGGGGGTAAGTTGCAGTCCTTGAAAAACGAGGACATCAGAGATGTAGGGGAGTGGAATGCATCATCCTGGGAGCAGATGCGGCGGAAGCGAAGTAATTGGGAATAGGGGATGGCATTTTTGCAGGAAGGTGGGTGGGAGGAGGTGCATTCTAGGTAGCTGTGGGAATCAGTGGGCTTGAAATGGATATCGGTTTCTAGGTGGTTGCCCGAGTTGGAGACAGAGACGTCCAGGAAGGTGAGAGAGGTATTAGAGATGGTCCAGGTGAACTTAAGGTTGGGGTGGAAGGTGTTGGTGAAGTGGATGAACTGTTCGAGCTCCTCGTGGGTGCACGAGGTGGCGCCGATACAGTCATCAATGTAACGGAGGAAGAGGTGGGGTTTAGGGCCAGTGTAGGTACGGAAGAGGGATTGTTCCACGTAACCTACCAAGAGGCAGGCATAGCTTGGGCCTCAACTGCTTTTTGTGGCAGAGAATTCCACAGGTTCACCATTGTCTCAGTGAAGGCATCTCTCCTCATCTCAGTCCTAAGTGGCCTACCTCTTTATCCTTAAACTCTGACCCCGCTTTTGGATTCCCCGGTCATCAGGAACATCCCTCCTACACTCACCTTGTTTAGTCGTGTTAGAATTTTATAGATTTCTATAATATTCCACCCCCTACCTCTTCTACTGTAAATAATCCTAACCAAACTAGTCTCTCTTCATACACCAGTTCTCCCATCTCAGGGATCAGTCTGATGAATTCAGTCGATGCACTTTCCATAGCCAGAACATCTTCCCTTAAATAAGGGAAGCAAGGTGTGATCTCACCAAGGCCCTGTACAATTGCAGCAAGACATCCCTACATCTGTACTTCAATCAGCTTGCCATAAAAGCCAATATATCATTTGTTTAGTTCAACTGCATGCTTACTTTCAACAACTAATATACAAGGATACCCAGTCTCGTAGCACCTCCCCCTTTTCCAATCTATCGTCACTCATATGATAATCTACCTTCCTGTTTTTGCTAAAATGAATAACCTCACATTTAGCCACATTATACGTCACCTGCCATGCATTTGCCCACATACCCAACTTGTCCAAATCACGTTGAGGCATCTCTACATCCTCCTCATAGTTCACCCTCCCACTCACCTTTTTTTTGGCTGCAAATTCCCTCAGCTAATATGCTGCAAATAACAGGGTCTAGAACGATCCCTGTGGCACCATACGAGTCACTGCCTCCCATTTCAAAAAGACTGGTTATTCCTACCTGCCAATCAGTTCTCTGTCCATGTCAGTACACAATCTCTAATCCCAAGCACTTCAATTTTACACGTTACTCTATTGAAAGCCTTCTGAAAGTCCAAGTAAACCACATCCATGGTTTCCCCCTTACCAACTCTATACCTACATCCTCAAAAAATTCTAGCAGATTTGTCAAATATGATTTCCCCTTTCATAAACCTTTTGTCAACTCTGACTGATCCTGTCATTGTTTTCCCACTACTCTGTTACTAAATGTTTTATCATGGATCCGAGCATTTTCCCTACTACCAATGGCAGGCTATCCAGTCTATAATTTCCTGTTTCCTCTCTACCTTTTTATTTAAAAAGCAGTGTCAGAGTCATACAGCATGGAAACAGACCCTTCAGTCCAACAAGTCCATGCTGAACATAATCCCAAACTAAACTAGTCCCACCTGCTTGCTCCTGGCTCATATCCCTCCAAACTTTTCCTATTCATGTATCTATCCAAATGCCTTTTAAATGCCTTACGTGTACTCACATCTACCACTTCCTCAGGAAGTTGATTCCACATGTGAACCACTCTGTGTAAAATATTTGCCTTTTTTTTTTAAATCTCTCTCCTCTTACCTTAAAAATATGACCTCTAGTCTTGAAATCTCCTATGCTAGGGAAAAGGCACCTACCTATACTTTTTATCAAGTCACATCTCAACCTCCTACGCTCCAGTAAAAAAGTCCCAGCCTGTTCCTTATAACTGAAATCTTCCACCCCGCACCGCCCGCTTCTATCTCCTTCCCAAAATCCACAAACCTGAATGCCCTGGTCGACCCATTGTCTCCGCCTGCTCCTGCCCCATCGAACTTATCTCCAACCATCTGGACTCCATTTTCTCCCCCTTGGTCCAGGAACTCCCTACCTACGTCCGTGACACCACCCACGCCCTCCACCTCCTCCAGAACTTCCAATTCCCCGGTCCCCAACACCTCATCTTTACCATGGACGTCCAATCCCTATACACCTGCATTCCACATACAGATGGCCTAAAGGCCCTCCGCTTCTTGCTGTCCCGCAGGCCCGACCAATCCCCCTCCACTGACACCCTCATCCGCTTAGACAAACTCATCCTCACCCTCAACAACTTCTCTTTCAATTCCTCCCACTTCCTACAGACAAAGGGGGTGGCCATGGGTACCCGCATGGGCCCAAGCTATGCCTGCCTCTTTGTAGGTTACGTGGAACAATCCCTCTTCCGTACCTACACTGGCCCTAAACCCCACCTCTTCCTCCGTTACATTGATGACTGTATCGGCACCGCCTCGTGCTCCCACGAGGAGCTCGAACAGTTCATCCGCTTCACCAACACCTTCCACCCCAGCCTTAAGTTCACCTGGACCATCTCTAATACCACTCTCTCCTTCCTGGACCTCTCCGTCTCCATCTCAGGCAACCACCTAGAAACCGATATCCATTTCAAGCCCACCGACTCCCACAGCTACCTAAAATACACCTCCTCCCACCCACCTTCCTGCAAAAATGCCATCCCCTATTCCCAATTACTTCGCCTCTGCCGCATCTGCTCCCAGGATGAGGCATTCCACTCCCGTACATCTCAGATGTCCTCGTTTTCCAAGGACCGCAACATCCCCCCCCTCAGTGGTCGAGAACGCCCTCCACAGTGTCTCCCGCGTTTCCCGCAACTCATCCCTCACACCCCGTTCCCGCAATAACAACCAAAAAAGAATCCCCCTCATCCTCACGTACCACCCCACCAACCTCCGGATCCAACGCATCATTCTCCGACACTTCCGCCATCTGCAATCCGACCCCACCACCAAAGACATTTTTCCCTTCCCACCCTTACCTGCTTTCCGGAGGGACCACTCTCTCCGTGACTCCCTTGTCCGCTCCACACTGCCCTCCAGCCCCACCACACTCGGCACTTTTCCCTGCAACTGCAGGAAGTGCTACACCTGCCCCCATACCACCTCCCTCAACCCCATTCCAGGCCCCAAGAAGACTTTCCACATCAAGCAGATGTTCACCTGTACATCTGCCAATGTGGTATACTGCATCCGCTGTAAACGTTGTGGCCTCCTCTACATCGGGGAAACTAAGCGGAGGCTCGGGGGCCGCTTTGCAGAACACCTACGCTCGGTTCGCAATAAACAACTGCACCTCCCAGTCGCGAACCATTTCAACTCCCCCTCCCACTCCTCAGACGACATGTCCATCCTGGGCCTCCTGCAGTGCCACAATGATGCCACCCAAAGGTTGCAGGAACAGCAACTCATATTCCGCTTGGGAATCCTGCAGCCCAGTGGTATCAATGTGGATTTCACAAGCTTCAAAATCTCCCCTCCCACTACAGCATCCCAAAACCAGCCCAGCTCGTCCCCACCTCCCTAACCTGTTCTTCCCTCCCACCTATCCCCTCCTCCCACCTCAAGCCACACCCCCATCTCCTACCTACTAACCTCATCCCGCCCCCTTGACCTGTCCATCCTCTCTGGACTGACCTATACCCTCCCTAACTCCCCATCTACACTCACCTTTACTGGCTCCATCCCCACCTCCTTGACCTGTCTGTCTCCTCTCCACCTATCTTCTCCTCTATCCATCTTCTATCCGCCTCCCCTCTCTCCCTATTTATTTCAGAACCCCCTTCCCCTCCCCCATTTCTGATGAAGGGTCTCGGCCCGAAACGTCAGCCTTCCTGCTCCTATGATGCTGCTTGGCCTGCTGTGTTCATCCAGCTCTACACCTTGTTATCTCTCTTCCATCGTGGTAAATCTCTTCTGAACCCTCTCCAGCTTGATAAGATCCTTCCTGTAACTCAGTAACCAGAATGGGACACAGTATTCCAGAAGAGGCCTCACCAACGTCCTGAACAACCTCAACATGACTTCCCAACTCCTATGCTCCAAGGACTGAGCAATGATGGCAAGCGTGCAAAATGCCTCTTTAACTACTCGGTCTGCATGTGACGCAAACTTCAAAAGAATTACGTAGCTGCGACCTTGGGTCCCTCTGTTCTACAACACTACACAAGGCCCTACTGTTAAATGTATAAGCCCTGCCCCTGTTTATTGTACCAAAATACCCAGCCATTTTTCAGCCTAATGGCCCATTCAATCACGATCCCTTTGCAATCTTAGAAAACCTTCCTCACTGTCTACAAGGCCACCAATTTTGATATCATCGCAAACTTACTAACCATGCCTTCTATATTCTCGTTCCAAATCATTTATATAAATGACAAAACAGAACTGCACCCAGAACCGATCCCTGTAGAACACCGCTGGTCACAAGCCTCCAGGCCAAAAAGCAACCCTCCACCTCCGTCTTCTGCCATTAAGCTAATTAAGTATCCAATTAGCAAGCTCACCCTGAAGCCCATGTGACCTAACTTTACTAATTAGTCTACCATGTGGAACCTTGTCAAAGACTTGGGGTTACATTAGGTACCCTTCAATCCATACAAACTGTTCCAGAGTCAATATAATCTTGAAAAATAACCAATGCATCCAAGTACTTCTGGGATAGAGATAACACATGGTGGAGCTGGAGGAACACAGCAGGCCAGGCAGCATCAGAGGAGCAGGAAAGCTGATGTTTCGGGTCGGGACCTTTCTTCAGAAATCGAGAGTGGGGAGGGGGAAGGGAGCTGGGAAATAAACAGACAGGATGGGTGGGGCTGGGCAAGGTAGGTGGGATAGTGATAGGTGAATGCAGGTAGGGAGTTGTGGGGACTGGTCAGTGGGACAGGTGGGGCAGATAGTGGGAGAGAGGGTTGGTCATGGGATGAGGCCAGGGATGGGGAGATTTTAAAACTGGTGAATTCTATGTTTAGGCCATCGGACTGTAGGCTCCTGAGGCGGAATATGAGGTGCTGCTCCTCCAGTTTGCATGTAGTGTCACTGTAGCACTGGAGGAGGCCCAGAATGGATTTGTCACTCGAGGAGTGGGAGTTAAAATGGTTGGCGACCATAAGTTGTTGTCGTTTGTCCCATACAAAGCGCAGATGTTCTACAAAATGGTTCCAGAGTCTACGCTTGGTCTCACCAATGTAGAGGGCGGCACATCGGGAGCAACGGATACAGTAGACCAAGTTGGCGGATGTGCAGGTGAACCCATCGGATATGAAAGGCTTGCTTGGGCCTCAAATGGACGCAGGGAGGTGGGGGGGTGCGGTGTAGGGGCAGGTATAGCACTTCCTGCAGTTGCAGAGAAAGGTGCCGGCTATGGTGGAGTTAGTGGGGGGTGTGGAACGGACAAGGGAGTCACAGAGTGAGCAGTCCCTACGAAAGGCAGATAGGGGCAGGGAAGGAAATATCTCTTTGGTTATGAGGTCAGATTGAAGGTGACGGAGAATGATACGCTGACGCGGAGGTTGGTGGGGTGGTATGAGGGGACCGGGGGATTCCGTCTTTATTTTTGTTGAGGGGGGTGGATTTGAGGGCAGAAGTGCAGGAAATGCAAGAGATGCAGTTGAGGGCATTTTTGATCACTAGAGGGGGGAAATGTAGTGGTCCTTGAAATAGGACGACATTTGGGATGTCCGGGAACACTCCAACTTGGGAGCTGATGCAGCAGAGGCAGAGGAATTGAAAGCAAGGCATTGCATTCTTGCAGGAGAGTGGGTGAGGAGGTGTAGTCCAGGTAGCTATGGGAGTTGATGGGCTTAAAGTAGATGTCATTGTTGAGGCGGTTACCAGAAACGGAGACGGAGGGGTCCAGGAAGGGGAGGGAGGTGTCAGACATGGTCCAGGTGAACTTGAGATTGGGATGAAAAGTATTTGTAAAGTTGATGAACTGTTCAAGCACCTCATGAGAGCACAAGGCAGCAGTGATGCAGTCGATGTAGCGGAGGAAGAGGTGAGGGATAGTGCCAATGTAACAGTGGAAAAGGGACTGTTCCACATATCCTACCAAGAAGCAGGCATAGCTTACTCCAGGCAAACTTGAGGTTGGAGTGAGAGGTGTTAGTAAAGTTGATTAACTGTTCTTCCAGGTGAACTCGAGGTTGAGGTGAATTCTAGGTGAACTTCTTGGGTCACTTTATTCAGTACTTTAAGATGATTCCCAATTGCGGGTACTCAATTTAATCCCATCAACCTCTCAAACACCATTTCCCTACTAATACTGATTTCCTCCTGTTCCTTGCTCTCATTTGACCCGGTGTTTCTCAGCATTGTAAGGAACCTACAGTTGTCTTCACTAATCTTTTTCTCTTTACATATCTGCAGAAGCTTTTACAATCAGTTTTCATGCTCCACACAAGCCTACTCACATATTCTATTTTCATCTTCTTAATCAATCCCAGGTGTCTTCCTTTGCTGAAATCTAAAAACTGCTCCCAATCCTCAGGTCTGCTTTACTTTTGGCCAATTTCCCTTCTTTGGATCTAACACACTCTCTCATTTCTCTTGTTGGTAACTGTAAGGCCAACTTTCCTGTTTTATTTTTGCACCAGACATCAATAAACAATTGGTGCTGTTTCTCCATGCACTCTTTAAATGTTTAGCATTGCCTATCCACCATCGTCCCTTTAATTAACATGACTCAATCATAGCCAGCTTACGTCTCATACCATTTTGGTTTCCTTTATTCAGATTCAGGACCCCAGTGTAAGAATCAATTCTGTCACCCTCCATCTAAGTGAAGAATTCATTGTTTCACCACGTTGTTTCAACACACACTTTCTAGAGCTTTTAGGTCAGCTATTTTAACAGGTTTCAGTACAGGGTAGGTACTTACATTAAATATTTTGACTATTTTGGCTCATATATTACAACTTAAAAATCTACTCCCACAGATAAATATTGTATTTACACTTCATACACATGCCCTCCTATCAATTTAACTTAAATATAGTTACTTCATAACTGAGACATTTTTCATCACTGCAACATTTAAATAGTGCATTAAAATAAGTCCGACTGCTACATCTTTCTCAGTTAGCATACTATGAATTATTGTGATAACACTGTGTGGAGCTGGAGGAACACAGCAGGCCAGTCAGCATAAGAGGAGCAGGAAAGTTGACGTTTCGGGTCGGGATCCTTCTTCAGAAATTTCTGAAGGGTCCCGACCCAAAATGTCAACTTTCCTGTTCTTCTGATGCTGCCTGGCCTGCTGTCTTCCTCCAGCTCTACACTGTTACCTCTGACTCCAGCATCTGCATTCTTACTATCTCTCTATGAATTTTGTTTTAGCAAGAGGAATATAGCAGTGGTTGGAAATACCAAAATATTGCTAAGTATCTGGATTATAAATGTTCCCTTGATATTATTTTAATATCTTAAGATAGAGTTGTCAAACAAGATACCGCATCTCTTTAAATGGCGTTTAACACTTTCTACTGAACATCGTACAACTGTAAATGCTGTAAATGCATATGTTCAAACAACAAAACAAATTTCACATTAAATATGCGTCATTTATGTAATCCAATATTTATGCATACCTATAGGCCTATGATTCAGAATTTGTAAAACCCTATCCACCTTCTGCAAAGATGTCAAAAATATATGCACCCAGAAGAACAGTGGACTCCTCTTATTGTCTTTGTCAATTTTAGAAGCTGTCAATTCAATTTTTGTCACACCAGTCAGATGAGTGCTCACAGCTCCCTTAAAATGGGAGAAGAAAGTTATATTCCCACTGCACTGCAACAGCAGCCATCTGGAAAAAAGGCCGCCTCAGTTTAATGAGATTGCAGAATGATTAAACTCAAACAGTTTCCTCCAAAGAAACTACATACAGAGCGAGCATCATTTTTGTCCTTATTAGTTGCAAACGTGACAACAGGAATCCACTGTATGATTCTTGCTGCAATACTTGCATTAATCCTAAACTGAGCTACTTGCTAACTGGAACAGACCTGGACCTTTTGTACTCTGGTGTCACTGGCTGGGGCAGATACAAATCCCTGAAGGTCACTTCTATGGCTACCACTGATTGGAGTCTGACGAATGCCACCACGGATTGGAGTGTGAAACCTGAGACCATTTCCTGGTGTGGGTACAGCACGTGGAGGCGGTCGGACACTGTCATAATAGTGCACAAAGCTATGCAGATCCATCTTTGCTGTATCTAACGGGGTGTCTAAACCACTGCCTAATGGGTCGCACTCTACAATCTCGTTCTGCTATATAGAAAAAAAAACTTCAGGTAGATACATGCAATAACAACTCTCTTATGACTCTTATAAGCAGAGCTTGCATTTCTTTCTTTGTGAGGCCTTTTAGTATTTTATTTTGTCAGATGGATTGCACACTCCTCTGCTGGTCTTGATTCAAATATTCCAATAAGTTGACATAAGTTTTGTCCACTGTTACCAATGGCATATTTACAGAAGGGGAGGGGAGAAGATTTTAAACAAATATATACAATCATATATGCCCTACTATAATAACAAAATGCATGCCCTTCTTATAAGCCAAGTTATTTGTTAACCTTGAAAGATTCATTTCTGCACTTGTTGAATCAACCATATAAAAGTTTTCGTTTTAGTGATGTCATCAGGATTTCAATAAAGCACAATGGTGGACAAATGGAAGTTTAATTCTGTGCCCATTTGAAGAAGTGTAAAATCAAAAGTTACCAAGCACCACCATTATCTTTTCGTTCTCCCACATTTGGGATTCCAACTTGCCCTGAATTATTCTTGTATTAATATACACTGAGAAAGAATACTGGTTTTATTATCTATTACATCAGGGTATTAAACCCATAATCTTTGATTCAGTATGCTTGTATGCGCTAGTAGCAATTCTGTTAAATAAGTCATAGAAAACACCAGCTTTACCTCAAAGTAAACTGCAAAACAAACTAGTACATATTCAGAAAATTCAACAGAAGGCATGAGTACTTCAACTAATTTTTAGGATAGCAAAGGAAATAATGGAATTAATGAAGATTGGAAATGTGGCCCTTAGCTATTCTAGATCTGATCTTTATCAACAAAGTCTGTAGAATGTGTACGACTAATTATTTTCAAATCAAGTGTTTTTATAAGGGTATACAATAACAACAGGAATTCAAAGCAGTACACATGTTAAAAAGTGAACACTCTGAAGAAGTGAATATTTATTTAAAGTAGTTGACCGGATACATTAATAACAGGTAGAAAGGGGCATAGATCGGATGAATGCATACAGTCTTTATCCCAGGGATAGGGAATTGAAAACTAGTGGGCATAGGTTTAAGGTGAGAGGGGAAAGATTTAAGAAAGACCTGAGGGGCAACTTCTTCACGCAGAGACTGATGCGTTTTTGGAATGGGCTGCCAGAGAAAGTGATTGAGGCAGGTACAATTACAATATTTAAAAAGTAATTGGATAGGTACATGTATGGGAAGGGTTTAGAGGGATATGGACCAAATGCGGTCAGTTGGAACTAGCTGAGTTGGCACCATGGTCAGCATGGACCAGTTTGGGCTGAAGGGCCTGTTTCCATGCTGTATTACTCGGACTCTGACTCTAAAACAGTAGAAAATAACTCAAGAATGATTTGGATCACATTCAGACGTTTTATCAATATGAAGGACTAAAGAAGTTGGAAGGCCCAACACTAGACAGTCAGGCAATAAAAATGAGCAGGATCGCCCCAGCAGCATGTTTTGGAACCAATGCTACTTTAATACAAAAACAATACAAGAGTGGGAAATACATTAGTTGAAAAATTAACTAGCTTTTAAAATACATTGTGTACACGTATTGTATAAATAACTCATTTCTCAAAAATAACATTTTTTAGATTATTCAGGGAGCAAAGGCAAAATATGATTTGGGATTGTTTTATCTTTGTATTAAAGTAAAATACTAGCAGGCATAAATTTACATTGAAAGAAGGAAGTTTAAACAAGATGTGCAAGGCAAATAATTTTACACAGGGGTTGGTAGATGCCTGGGGAGGTGGTAGAAGCAGAAACGATGGCAATGTCTAAGAGACATTTAGACAGAGACATGACCAGGCAGGGAACAGAGGGATATGGACCATGTGCAGACAAATGGAATTAGTTCAGAATGGCACAAACATGGAGGGGACAGTTCCTGTGCTATACTGTTTGATGTTCTTTGTAAAGCAACTAGAACTAAACAGTCACCTATTTTGTGCTGTGCAATCAGACAGCCATAACTGTACAAAGAAATATTATATCAATTCAACATGGGACATAAATGAAAAATAATCTTCCGGAATCAAGTGAAAATGGGTTTTGACTCTCCAATGTCTTCTTACCGATTTCTCATTCTCCGCAGGCAACTCAAAGACACATCTGAGTTTAGAGTCCATAAGATCTTCAGGCTTTGCATCTTTCCACTAAAGAAAATAAATAAATCTATGTAAATAATACTTGGACACAGGCAATGCTATGTAAAATATGATCACAAACTGTAGCACAAAAAAATGAAGGTCTCTGACCAAACTATTCAACAGCATACTCCCAAGGCCACTTGGCACACTTCCTAATGGCATTTGAATAGTGCACTGCACCAGCTTTTAATTTAAAAAAAGCAACTCTGAAGTTAAAGTGGAAATTTGCCAACTATCTGGAGAATCTTGCCCCAAAAAGTACAACATTGAATGTAAAACTATACAGACTTACAGTTGAATTAAAAAGGTGTAAGCTTTTAATTAAAAAAGTAAAAGCTGCCTCATCAGTCACATTCCTTCCATCTCAAGTTCAGAAGTAGGGCTTTCTGCTGATGACTGTCCAATATTCAGCACCAGTCTTGGGTCCTAACCTAATGGAGCAATCCATTCCAAATGCAGAAAGCTTGAGACAACATTCAGGATAGACTGATAAGTGGCAAGTAACATGTACCTCTGACAAGCATGAGGAAATGACCATCTCCAACAAGGGAAATGTTCCAACAGTAAAGCCACAATAAATGCCCCACCATCAACGCTCTGAGGTTTACCACCGACCAGAAACAAATGTGGCTACAGGGAAAGTCAGAGGCTGAGAATACTGCAGGAAGTAACTCAACACCAGACTCACCGAGGTCTGACAATCATCGACAAGACAAGTCAGGAGCGTGATACATTACTTGTCAGGAGGAGTGCAGTTCCAATAAGACTGAAGCAGCTCAACAACATCCAGGAAAAAAGCAGCACACTTGATTAGCATCCCATTCACCATCTTTAAGCATTCACTCCTTCCATCTACTATAATAGTACCTACAAGATGCACTGCAGCAATGTCCAAAGAATGCTTTGATAGCAGTTTCCAAATCAGCGACCTCTACTGTCTGGAAAAACAAGGGTAGCTGGCACATGAAAGCACGACCACTTCCAAGTTCCCCTCAAACTCAGACCATCCTGTTCTGGAAATCTATCATTCCTTCACTGCTGCTAATCAAAATCCTTAACGTCATGTTGCTGCCAGTGTTGGACCGGGGTGGACAATGTCAGACAAAGTCACACGACACCAGGTGATAGTCCAACAGGTTTATTTGAAATCACAAGCTTTCAGTGCTGCTCCTTCGTCAGGTGAAGACTTCAAAAGCTTGTGATTTCAAATAAACCTGTTGGACTATAACCTGGCGTTATGTGACTTCTGACCTTAACCACCTTATCTAACAGCACTGTTGATGGGCCTACACTACAAAGACTTCAGCAGTTCAAGGCGACTTCAAGACCTTCTCAAGGGCAATTATGGAATGAACAATAAATGCTGGTATGGCCTGTGCTCACATCTCATGAATGAGTCAACTAAGACTTGCTGTGCCTTTATTCACTGGTATTTAGAGCAATAAGAACAGATCTCATTAAAACGTGTAAAATTCCGACTCAGCTGGGCAGATTGGATGCATGGACGACGTTTCCTCCAGTTGGGGTGCCTAGAACAACGAGTTACAGTTTCAGGATACTGGGTAGGTCATTCAGAACAAGACGAGCAGACATTTCTTCATTCACAAGGGTAGTGAGCCTATGAAATTCACCAGCACAAAAGGCTCAGGTGGTAAAAATCACTGAACATGTTTAAGAAATAAATGGATAGATTTCTATACAGAGCCTATACATATGGGGAGACAGTTGGTGTATGGAGTTGAGATAGATCATCTATCATGATCAATTTGAATAGCAGAGCAGTTTAATGATCCAAATGACCAACTCTTACTCCTATTTTTTTTCTTTCTATGCCAATATGACAATGTACATGACATGAGGGGAAGTGAATACTCTTTTCAATATTACTTAGGTACAGCATTTCCTAAATCTCAGAAGAGTATTCACTCTCTTTCATTCTTGGGACACCTGCTACAACCCTAAACCTAACTGTCCAAAATCAAGGTGATTGCAGCATGCCCGTGGAACAAAGTTATATTTTTCATAGCTTATATTTTACTTATTTCACATAGCCTCACATGGCCATGTACAACTTTGGAAGGTGACAGAATAAACACTTCACCAACCCATGCTTAGACTTTAACAAACAGATTGATGAAATAGTAAATGAAAAAGTACCCAGAAGCCTAACAAGCAAGATTTACAGATCATATTCATCCTCAGAATTTCATTACTTAACCCTACCTCGTACAGCAAAAGCTGGGCCTTTTTTCACTGGAGTGTACGTGGTTGAGGGGTGAACTTATAGAGATTTATAAAATCATGAGGCATAGATAAGGTTAATAGCAAAGGTCTTTTCCCTAGGGTGAAGGGAGTTTAAAACTAAGGGGCATATTCTTAAGGTGAGAGGAGAAAGTTTTAAAAAAGACATCGGGGCAACTTTTTCACAGAGGGTGGTTCATATGTGGAATCGACTGCCAGAGGAAGTGGTAGATGCAGGTGCAGTTAGAACATTTAAAAGAGATTTTGATAGGTACTTGAATAACAAATGCAGGCAAGTGGGACTAGTTTAGTTTGGTTGGCATGGATGCATTGAATTGAAGGGTCTGCTTGTGCTGTATGACTCCTTGACTTGTTCGCATCAGTAAGTACTAATAACAGTTTCCATAACTATGTGGCTTCACCAAAATCCTGAGCAACTAGTCATCTGACTGTGACTTGCTCCACAAACAGAGAGCTCATCTGCACCAACTTCAGGCAGAAGAGACATTGCTGCAATGTGTCAAAACCCAATTAAAATAGTCCTTAATAAAAACCATAAGAACTGCGGATGCTGTAAGTCAAACAAGAACAGAAATTGCTGGAAAAGCTCAGCACGTCTGGTAGCACCTGTGGACAGAAATCCGAGTTAACATTTCGGGTTGAGTTCTGAGGAAGGGTCACTCAACCCAAAACGTTAACTCTGATTTCTCTCCACAAATGCTAAGCTTTTCCAGCAATTTCCGTTTTTGTTTAAAATAGCCCGTCTTACATTCCAAGCACATCCGTGATTCTGCATCAGCTATTTCCCCTCATGCTGAATTCTTGTCTGCAATGTCAATTGGCCCACGTGTCTCTGAATAGATCTGTCAAAACTGATCACCTCTCTATTCTGAGGTGATGTTTATGTACACTTAATTCCACTGAGAGTATCTACAACCTATTAGATGGCTAAATTAGAATTATGACACCCATGTTATTTAATGACAAGTGTATCCTTGCTAGCAACTGCCTTCCTGAAAAGCACCAGATTCTGGTCATAAGTGCAAAGAGGTCCAGTAATTTTATGCTTACAGTCCCTCAATATCTGAGGAAATGATTTCAAAGAGTAGCAGACAGAACAAACCTTTCAGCTATAATCAGTTTGACGCATTGGTAAAATATTGAAAGGTACAAGGAGATAAATACACAAGGCCAGTAAAGCAAAAGTTGCTAATTAGAAGATCAGACAGTAGGTATCATCCAAAGGAATCTAAAACTGGTTTTGCTATGGAGGAGATGATAGTAAACAGATATGCTTGGCAACATAACTCCAAGACTAAGCAATTCTCTTAAGTGCTTTCTTTAAATCAGTTTTCACGTGAAAAAAAAGTACTGATGTTGTTAGCCTCTCCTTTTGGTTCAGGCATTTGTGACATTTATTCTGTAAACGTTGTTCTTTTCATAAATAAGAACTTTAAAATCCTTTGTAGAGCACCTAAACAAAATTGAAGAAAACTACTGCACAAACAATATAAAGTTATGACTTATACTTTCGGGCCTTAATAAATAAATTGTTGGATCCAAAGGTAGGAATATTGCACTTGCCATCCTTAACCTTAAAAAGCGATGGACCTAAAATTTCAAAATGATAAGTCCAAATATTTCAATGTGGGAAAACACTTGCACATCATCACGTTTAGAAATGCTACTAAACATTCTTCAAAAAGTGAAGATCTCAATAACAATATGGATCTATTGGAATTTGTGAAGCTACTGAAATTAGTTGATAATTATCCAATCATTTAGTTGGATTTTCAGAAGCTTCTACGAAAATTGTACTCCTGTGTCTTTTAAAAGATCTTAAGCCTCCTGATAAATTAACGAGCTGGACTTAAAAAGCTGATCGATAAAAACAAATAAAAGATCTTCTGAAAGATAAGTGAAAAAACTACAAACGGCTCCAACTTTCTTTCCATTCTTGAGGGAAGATTAATTTGAATGTGTTATAAGGAGTAATCGATTATTAGGATAGTTATTAGCATTCAAAGTGATCTTGACAAATTAATTTAGACATGCTAATTACATTAGGAATGACGAATTTGAACAAGAATACAAATGAGATGATTATGCTGAAACATACTTCACCTGGAAGATTAGAAATGACATGGCCATCAGTGTTTTTTTAAATACTCTACTAAGAGGGCCAACAGAAAGACAAAAAACTTTCTATGAGGACTATAAGCTTACATTTAGGAATTAGGAAGAATGTGTAAATTTTAAAAATCAAAATGCAGTCAGTAACACTTTATGAAGCACACTGAAATAGACTGTAGTTATTTTTAGATAAAATAGATTTTCTAAATCCCAGAATTAAAAAGTGCTGAATGTTACAGTAATTGCAGTAAATATTTATCTCTTTTAAGTCTTTTCAATAAAATGTAATACTTACTACTGCTTCCATGTCTGTAATACCAGGAGGAGCATAGACTGTCTGTACCATGAATTTGTGTTTGCTTTTCTCATTGGGATCATAGTCAAATGGCTGCAACATTACTGGAGATGGAAAACAAAAAAGTGTTAGTTTTGAGAAGGCCCAGGGTCGGTTCGAAGTCCAACATTTAAAAATCGTAAGTGCATGAAGTGCACTCCTGCCCAGTTAGTTAAAAATATTGTTCAGGAGAAAATTATGACAACTAAACTAATTGCTAGGTCTTGATGTTGCCATGAAGTTGCCAGTCTAGATCCTTGTAAGTGGCCATTGATTCCCTACATCTGTTCAAAAACGTGCCTCCATTAGTGCTGAGTCCACAATTAGCGAGCAGTAGGCATGAGGTGAAGCTTGGTGAACAACTATAACCACTTGTTGCTTGAACTCTCATTTTTTGATTTGCATTAGATCATAGGACCATAACATGTAGGCCATTCAGCCAATCAAGTCTGCTCTATTATTCAACGAGATCATGACTGATCTGACAATCCTCAGCTCCACATCTTTGTCATTTTCCCTACTACCCTTGATTCCCTGACCAATTAAAAATCTGGCTCTCTCAGCCTTCAACACACAGCCTCAACAGTCCTCTGCAATAAAGAATTCCACAGATTCATTACTCTTTGACAGAAGAAATTCCTCCTTGTCTCGATTCTAAATGCACAACCACTGAGATAATGCTTTGTGGTCCTAGACTCTCCCACAAGGGGAAACAATCTCTCCACATCCATCTTGTCAAGTTCCCCACAGTCTTACATAACTTAGTAAGGTCATCTCTTACTCTTCTAAATTCCAATCAGTACAGGCCCAACCTACTCAAATGTCTCCACATTAAACAGCCCCTCCATACCTGGTATCAGCCTCGTGAACCTTCAATGGATTGCCTCCAATGCCAGAATATCTTTCCATTGATAAAGGGCGCAAAATTGTTCACAGTACTGCAGCTGTGGTCTGATTAGAGCCATATGTTGTTGCAGCAAAATCTCCTTACTTTTATACTCCATTCCCTCTAAATAAAGATCAACATTCTATTGGTCTTCCCTGTCATCTGCTGAACGTAAACTTTTTGTTATGCATGCATACTAACCCCCAAATCTCTCTGTTGCATTTTTCTGCAGCCTTTCTCCATTTAAATAATATTCTATCCTTTGCTTTCAGCCAAAGTGCATAATCTCACATTTTCCAATATCTTCAACAATCGATCTGCCAAGTCTTTGTTCACCTGCTTAACTTGTCTTTATTTTCTGCAGATGCTGTGCATTTCTAAACAAATAAACATTTGGAACAGGCACTGAAATCCAGTATTTGAGCTGGTTACACAGTGCCATCCAGCAACAAGAATCAACTGGAAGACCAAAATATACATGAAACTGCTTTTTACCTGTACAAAACAAATGGAAAATATCTCAAAACACATATAGATGAAACGGTCAGGTGAAGGTGTTGTATACGTACACACACGCAACATGATCATTTGGGTAGGTGACTGAAAATGTTGGAAGAGACATCAAATCTCCTTGCAACTCCAACTGTAAAAGGCCAATTTATCCAGAAGCGTCCATATAGAAAATAGCGATATCTGCCATTTTTCCTTAAAGCAGTGATTGATGCCACGTCTTCCTGCATTTTTCAGTCTCATTCAACATTTCCGCTTACTTGCCATCAGGCTAGTAATTGCTATTTTCTCAATCACACATTTTAATTCAACTGTTTGAAACTCATTTTAGTGCTAGGTAAACTTAATTACAATTCTTCATTAAGGAAGAACAATTTTAGCCTCTGCCAGATGGAAAACCTGGTGTTCACACAAAAATTAGAAGCAAACTGATACTAACATTCCTGGTACCAGAGATGAGAGAGTTTAAACTAGCAAACTAAAAGGTTTGCCACAAAATACAAGTGTCATTCAGTACACATATTGTGTGGACAAAATTTCAACTTGAATTAATATGAATGAGATGATGGATAAAGACAGGTTATACAAAGAAACAGGGGAATTGGGGAAATTCATACGCTCTTATACAGGTCTAAAGGCTGTTACAAAATCACATGCTCAAGAGTTAAACCATCAAGTAACTATATTTGTCTTGCATACGTTATTATGGAGTGTGAGATCTAAAAGCCCTCAAAAATCAAAAGCTCATGCATTGTCTATTGCTACTACCACTGTTTGTTATTATAACGATAGTTTAAAGTGTAAACCAACAGAGTTGTGAGAATGGATCGCAAGAATACTTGGATCATATTCAGAAAGCTAACAAGTGATGAAACAATGTTTTTTGATACAAATACAACAATATAGAGATACTGTTTATGTTAAGTCACACTGATTCAATGAGATTCACTGGTAGAAGGCAAATACCTATGGAAAACTTAGACTACCTTACAAAAACAACTGAAAGCCATAATAACAATCGAAGGATTTTACTGATGGTGATCTGCTACAGTCCATTCGAGCTAAGCTATGAAATAAGGAAGTTTGAGATTATAAGCACTTTACAGATAAATAAAAACAGGGACATTTGAGGACAACATCTGTTCACAATTTAGGGCGATACACGTAATGTTTAATCAGGGTTTTGACTGTTACGAAATAGATTGAGATAACAAAGGATGGTAGCCAACAAAAGAAGAATGAAAGGCAAGATATGCTTAAGGGCAACATGCAGGAAATTAAAGCAATATGAAAATACTAGAACAGTTGCAAAATAATTTCCATACATTAATTATGTTCAGACTGAAAAATATATCAAGTGAAAGATAAAGATGTCAGAATGAAAATAAGCAAATAAACAAAAAGAAACGGGATAAATTAGA